AAGAATTCCCGATACATTTACTTGGTCTCAGCCGATCACAATGATGCAATTTGCTCAGTCATTTAATTACTGAGGTAAATTAAAGAAGCTCAAGATCACAAATGAATCCTCTACAAGAAAAAAAGATGGCGACTGGTACAATTATCCATAATTCTTAGCGCACAAAACCCCTTACAAACCTTCATAAAAACGTACAGGGCAATTCTAAAACCTTCAAACCTACCATACACAATGCCGTTAGTACAGGTACAAATAATGCAAAAATATGGCTTTCCTTGTGCCTAATGGGCTGTGCTAGGTTTACAAAGTAAGGAGGTAACATGTACAGCCACCATCTTTTTTCTCACGGAAGACTGAATTTTAAACCCTTGGGTGATGGACGAGAAGAAATACGAAGTTTTTAGCGGAAATAAAGAAAACCCTTTTTCTTAAAAGGGGAACTTGAAACGGCAGTGTAATGTTCTGCAGACAGTTGCTGATCATTTGAAGTTCCTTCTTCTAGAGAGAAGGCTTAGAGGTGTAAGAAATTTTCTGTCACCAAATCGACGAGAAACTTCTTTTAATCCCGGGGGAGAGAGATTCTACAATGAGAGTTCTATCGCTTTAAAACACACGTCACAACAAACTGGACATCTGACCTGAAATCCTTGGGAATATGTTCGAAGAGGAACATCCACAGAACCTGTAGGGCTGAAAAAATAACATTTTACAATTACTATGAATACATCCAATTATTAGGCAAGAATATTCGTTCGTTTTTAATGCGATTTTGCCAGCCTTGAACATACCTCCTTCAAAGGGAAAGCCAGTAATAATGATTCAATTTTGCAATACAGTGTTCCAGAAATGACAGGAACTCATAAAGAAGAAAGGATGATTTCAATATGGACAAACGTGAAGAATCTTTACCACTCTCCCGAGTCAGGACTTACATGCACCTTTCTTGAACAACGGCTGGTAATCGAGCCAAACTTGAGTACATCTCTCACCTTTGTACCTCCTGAGCGGGGGTGGGTGATATCCTGTGCAGCACCCCCTTAGGAGCAGTTGTCTGCCCTTGTTGTGGTTTTAAATCATTGGTGAAAAGATGTGTGGCGAAACCGAAGTTGCAGTTCTGGAAAAGAAAACAAAAGTTGAAAAAAAAAAAAAACATTAAGACCACGTTCTCAAGAAAACTATTAAACCAGCTATCAAAAGAACATTTATGTTTGCTTGTTCTTTTATTCTTAGTAAGTACTTTCGATAGTAGTTGAACTCTCTAA